TTTGGTCGCAAGACCGGGAAAACGCCCGTCTTTGAACCTCTCTCACTGTACGACATAGGACCAGCGATTAAGAGCCACGATCACAGAAATCGCCACGATTGCTTCACGATGGCAATCTTTCGTCTGGGACAGCCAAAAATCGTGCAGTGTATCCCGGGCTTAAGGCTACGTTTACACGACAATGATGTAGTCAAAAACGAAAAAGTTTTTCCCTTGCGTTTTTAAAAAGTTTCATGTATACACGACGTTTTCAAAATGATTCATGTTTACACATATCTGCGAAAATGGCCAAAAACGCTGCATTATGTATATGCCAGGCCAGTAGTTGGCGTGTAAACGAACAGACAAAAGGCATAAAAAGTTTCCAGTTTTTTCCTGAAAACGTCGTGTAAATGGCCCCTAATCCTGCTCCTGGAGGGCAACCTTCCCTACAGAGTTTAGCTCTAGCCCTAATTAAACACACCTGAACTCTGAAAGAAAGTGGCCTTCCAGGAGCAGGATTGGACACCCCTGCTTTAACATGTTCCCTGAAGCTTATCAAATGGTTCCTACACCCCTGCAACTACTTCAGGGAACTACATCCAAAAAAATATAATCAAGAAAACAAACAACTATCATAATCACACAAAAACGTACGATCTATTGCTTTAGCAGGTTCATTGATCTGTGAGATGTAAAAATCCAAAAAAGTTCCATTAATGCATCAGCGTACACCAGACACAGATGCGGGACAAATGGAAGATCTGACCTGATATTGGGGTGACCATCGGGCTGTTATCCTGCTCTTTGTGTCCTATTTTGGCTCCACACGACCCAGTCGCCACAGTCAGCAACAGTATCAGCCAAAATCTTGCGTAGAAAAGCATCTTCTCTGATTCAATATCACAGAGAAATCCAGCACTTGTTTTGGGGTGGGTCAACAGAGGGGATGTGCTTTATATGCACCCACTCCTGCACTCCTGAGCGGAGCCAGCCTGCCAAGAAAGCTCGTCCTTGGAGTAACAGTGGGTATTCAAGGCATGCAGTGGACGTGTGAATTTTGAGGGATAGTGAATGGACATCACATGCCTTTGAGCTTTGATAAGGTGAGGAGGAACTCATCCAGACAATGGAATACTCTGTAGGCCCCAGACACACAGCTGTAGTAGCGCATAACAGTTTGATCCTGCTTGCTGGCAAATTGCAACAAAGTTCTATTTTTAAATTTGTACACAATTTCATCATTTCATTCCCATGGGACACAGACCATGGGTGCAGCAGGCGCAATGATATTATGCAGCGCCTGAAAATAGTCCCCAGCACGCTCCCTGTGCTAGCAGGTTGTCACGTTGGTTATGTTGATGGAATTTAGCCTATCACCAGACCCGGAGATCGGCTGAATGGATTCGAAAACGGTAAAACTCAACTGTTTAACTCTAGGGGAGTTGGAAAATGAGCCTATTTTCAAAAATAGTGGAGTGTTCCTTTAAATAAAAAGCACCCATCCTTAATAAAAAGTCATCCTGTAGCGAATTGATGCGTTTTTGTAAGAAAAATAACCATATTTAAAACATAATAATCAATTTAATCTAGCTTGCGCTCACTGTTGT